TATGAATATAAGATTATATTTTATTTTAAGTTTTATCCTAAATTTAATTATATTAAAATATATTGAAAATTATCAAGATTTATATTTAATTTTATTGTGAGTATTCAAAACTTAAAAAATTAATTCTTTAGATATTCAATTCCATTTTTGTAAAGAGAGTTTATTCTTTTACTAGATTATTATTTAGATGAATAATACTTATTAATATAGATTAAAGAAAAAAGCTACTTAATATGTAATTAAGAAATATAAGAAATATAGAAATTATAAATCAAATTAATAAGTTATTAAGTTAGATGGATAAGAAAAGTAAAGAAAGAAAATGGATATTATTTATCTTTTTTATTATTATCACTTTATATAATAAATTAAATATAACTTGTTATCTAATACTATATTAATTTAGTAATAATAGAATTGTAATATAAACAAATATATATATAAATCTGATATATATAAGTATAATAGAAGAATTATAAATTTTTTAAAATTTTAGTAATGTGAATATTTATTTTTACAAATATGAAATTTATAGAAAGAATTAAAACTATTAGTAAATAAGAATTTGATCAGATATAAATTTTTCAAAATAAAATATATTAACAAGATAATTATTAATGATTTTATTTATAAAAGATTCAAAAATGAAGAACCTTCAGATTAGAAATAATATATTATCTGTAATATTAGCAATATCAAGAATAAATTCCAAGTATTCTTAATATATATTAATTTATCAAGAACTGAATATATTTAATTATATACTAATCTTAAAAAATAAGAAAGTAGCTAATATTCAAGTAATTTCTTTTTCAAATTGTCAAGCATAGCTGAGTCATATTTCTTAAGAAACAACTATCAGACTATACTTCTTTAGATTAAATAATATTATCTTCTAAATTAAATAATATTGAATATTATTTGTATTTATCTTTTTATATTAATTAAAATTAATGATATTTATCATCTTGTTTGACAATTTAGAATCTTAAGATCTATAAAAACAAGCTTCTGAGAATAGTATATCTTAGAAATAGCTATTTTAATATTATTATAAATATTCTTGATATTATTTCTAAAGTCACAAATAACAGGTAGTATATTATATAGCATATAGAAATTGAAATATTTTATCATAATTATTTTATGTCTTTTAGAAATTAAATTTGAGTATAGCAACTTGAGAATAGATTGTAATTAGCATATAATTAGTAAGTAATATTATTATACTTTTGCAAAAATTTATGACAAATATTCTAATCTTAGTTCTTATAATCCAGATTGATTTTGTAAGATTAATTATTAGCAGCTTATTTTTGAAACTGTAAACTTTTGGAATATAAAAAAATTATACTTTAGAAAATATTCTTATAAATATTATTGTATATTTGTTAAAGATATTAATTAGTAAAATATCACTAAAATATGATGTAAAGATAACAGAAAATAAATATTAGAATATATATTTTTACTTATAAATATGATTAGTTTTTGATTAACTGAAATTATATTGAATTGCTATTATCAGACTATGTCAATAAATTTCTGTTACTTGTCTTTTGTGATTAGTTATTAAAAATTTTTATAAGATTTATTTTAGTATTTTTAAAGATCAATTTATATATAAATTATTATCAGAAACTATTAGAATATTATAAAATCTCTAAGAATTATTTAGTCCATTACTTTTATTATAGTTACATTATTTTTAAATTAAAGATATAATAGTGATTTTATCTTTATTTAAAATATATAAATTAATACTTATAAAATCTAAATATTATTAATTAATATAAAATATTATTTTAATTAATTTCATATAGATTATAGCTTTAGATATCATCTTTAATATTATTACTTTATACATAATTCTATTATTTCTTAGCTAACTTTAATATCATCTCTTTTTTATTTCAAATATCTTTATATACTTTATCAATTCTCTTTTATTAATTTTTCAATATTAAGTAATTTTTTTAAAAGATATTCTTTTAATTCTAGATATCAATTGAATAAACTCTTTAATTTTATTATAATAAATTTATAAAGTGAAAAATCTAAAAAGAATTATATATTTTATCTAATCCAGAAATTTTTTATACAGAACTGATAGAATAAGAATTAAAATATTTATCTGCTTATAATATACTAAATACAAATTTTTGTAGATTAATTTATATTTTTTTCTGTATTAGAATTTCTGTTTATGATAGATTCAAAATAAAGAATAAAAAAACTGAAAGTAAAATATTCATAAGTGTATTAAAAAAGAATTCTATTCTTATTTGAATCATAATATTATAATAAAACTAATATACAGTATGTTATAAAAGTCTTTGAACAATCAGTGACAAAATTAAAAGTTATACAGCCTAGTCAAATTAAGTTAAAGTATTATATCACTATATTTGTTTCATCTATTACTAATTTTTACTTTATTTACTACTAACAATCTATTTATCTTTTGTTTTAATAAATATGAATACAATGAAGTCTATCAATCAAATTACACAAGTCCAATTTATTCAACATTTATGAAATCAGAAAATTAAAGATGCTGCTAAAATTCAATGTCAAACAGATATTCCAAGATCAATTATTTATTATAATTTCAAAAAGTTGAAGAAAACTGGAAGTATGACCTATAAAAAATACTCTGATTATCTCAAAAAGAATATACCAGAATATTAAAAGCTCTCAATCAATATATTAGACAAAATTCAGCAATATTATCAAGAATATTAGCTAATAAACTATTACTAAAAGATATAAATATTTCTTATATATCAGTTTTATAACATTTAGCTCATCTTGGATATAATAAAAAATATCTACTAGTGATATCTATACTCATAATAAAATATAAGAGAAAACAAATAATATAGATCCAGAAACATATTAATGATAATTAAAATTGCATACTTTTTACTGATGAAATATCATTTTAATTATTTTAAAATATGATAGAGTACTGATATAAAGATATTTGGCCAGTTTATTCTATTCCTAAAGACTGAATTAGAATTAATATCTGAGATAATTTCTATATTAAAAGAAAGACCAGTCTCTTTTGTTTTTGTAAAATTATAACTGATCAATTTTATATCAATATTATAAGAAAATATCTTTCTGAAGCTAATAAGATACTCAGTAAGAAGTGATAACTCCAACAGGATAATAATCTAAAATATATAAGCAGAATAGTTAAAAAATTTCTTTAAAATAATATTTTGACTATTATAGACTGGCTCACAAATAATTCTGATTTAAATCTTATCAAAAACTTATGGACTATTGTTAAGAGAAGAGTGAAGAAGTGACAATCAAAAAATATTGCAGAATTAAAACAGTTTATGATGAAAAAATAAGATAATATCTCATGATATATTATAATTAATTTAATTAGATTAATAAAAAAATATTATAAGCTTATTATTAATAATAATAGAAAACATATTTCTTATTAATTTCTTTTAAATAAAATCTTTTGATTTTTACCTTTCAAATGAATATTTAATCTTGTAATTTAATATAATTATTCAGATATTATAGCTAGAAATAGATATCTAAAAACTTTTATAATATACTGTATATATATATTACTTATATATAGAATAAAAATATCTCTACATAATAATTAGAGATTTGAGATAAAAACTGAATTAGTAATTGATATTAAATGAAATTAATAAAAAATTCACTTATCAAATCTAATTTAATTATGTAATTTTGTTTAATTAAACTCAGTTATATTATAAAAATTCTAAGAATGAATGAGTTAAATATTATTTTTTACTAAAATTCTTCTAAAATAATTTGGTAACTCTATTCTATAGATTGATTGAAATAAATTCTAATTAAGAACTTTGTTATAACTAAAATTGTAATAGTAAAGTAGTTATTTATTTAGTAAAACTTGAAAGTACTTATTAAGTATATATATATATATAGAAAGTACAAACTTATTTTTGATTAAACAATAATATTTTCAATCAACAATTCAAGTTATAAAGAAAAATAGTTCCAAAAAATATCACTTTTTATAATGAAATTTATATCACATTCTTAAAGTTAATAGTAATGAACAGATTCATACTCATGATATCTAAATTTTGAGGCAAGAAAAAAATTCTATTATATCTAGAATCATATTTATTTATTTTATATATATGATAATAAAAAAATAAGATTATTAATATATAAATAATTTAATTAAAGTTATAAATAATATTTTTAGATGATGTAACTTTATCAGAAAATAGTCAAATGATTAAAAAACTTGAAGACTTTATCAGATTTATCAGAAATTGAATACTTTGTGTTTACAATTTATGTCAGTTAAATATTATTTCCAAATTAATATTAATTCCAACTAATATAGGTATCTACATTTATTATTATATTTAATCATAATAAAAGTAAAATTTATTGAAATTCTGCAAGTGTTAGTAAATAAAGATTATATTAAAATACTTTGTTTTATATAGTATAATTCATATTATCTATGATCAAATTAATTCAAATCTAAATCTACCTAGTCCTTCAATAATTTATAATACTAGAATATATTAAAGATGCTATATCTAAGAGTCCATTTATACATTCAAAACAAAGAAAAATTATCAGTCTGTATTTATTATTGATTCTAAGGTTTCTTTTTTAATTCTTTAAAGATGATAGGCATTTTAAAGATTATAATAAATTTTCTATTATGAATAGGAAAAGATTCATAATAACTAGATAGTGTTTTAAATTAATGCTAACAAATTATCTGACTGCTATAATATGAATTGTAAAAAAGATAAACTCTAGTCAGAATCCAATTAGTCTTTTCTAATTTGGAAAATTATCATTTTTTCCAAGCTAGAATAATCATTATAAAAATTATTTTTGAAATATTTCATAATAATATTTGCAAGAGGTTTATACATGAAGTCATTGATATATGCGACATTTATAAAAAGTATTATAAAAATGTCTTCTCATAATGATAATAAATAATGACTTTCCAATTTGAACATGATTATAGCTTTCTATTAGAAATCATAGAAGACTTGATAATGGAAGAAATGAGTGAAAGCAATATTTAACCTCATCACAAGATATCGAAAAAGTATCAATTTACTAACATATTAATATATTTTTATAATAAAAAAATTTGAGTTATGTGTGAATCAAATCATTTGCAAGAATTTTTATCCTTGTATTACTAAGATACAAGTCTAATATGTAAGCGGTGGTGAGTGGCCATAACCATTTACGAGAAGTTTTCTCTTTGTATTGTGATATGCAGAATGATAAGTAAGCGGTGATATACTAATTTAGTGATGATATAAGCAAATGCATATATAAATCTGATATATATAAGTGTAATAGAAGGATTTTAATTTTTTGAAACTTCAGTAATGTGAATATTATTTTTACAGATGCGAATCTATGGAAAGAATCGAAAATGTTAGTAAATGAGGATTTGATCAGGTATGAATTTTTCAGCAAAATAGCTTGTACATGTATCTCGAAATACATGTATTGCCTAACAAAAAATGCTCCTTGTAAAATTTTATATGTATTTTTGTTAATAGATTGGAATCACTTTTTTGCACGTGAAAGTAAAAATCTTTGGGCAAGATGTGAGATCTAAACTTATGGCACTTGCGAACTGCAAATAATAGTTATGCAACTAAATTAAAAATGTAAATAAACTCAAAAATACATTTTTTTAATCCGTTTAAAATATTCATTTAGTTTATTATCATTGGCTCACGATCATTCAATCGACTTCTTCAATCCAACCTTAAAAATTGGTAAAAGGTTCAAATAACAACTATTTCACGTGTTTTTATGAAGGAATAGATACAAAGTAATTAATTGGAATCTGACACGAACATGTCAAAGATGCTTTTTAAAATAGTAGAAACTAGAAATAATTATTTGATAGTTTCTAATATTTTGCCACTAGTTTTTTAGTCCAAGTTGATGACTCGGAGTGATTATAGCAGTCTGAAGCTATTTTGAAAACTTGGTATTAGAAAAAATGGATTTCTTCATGATCTCAATACTTAGTCAATGTTCTATCTGTTCCATTAACTAGTTTGCTTTATAAATTATCCCTAAACTATCTTTCATGAGATATTCAATGCTTAAAAAAGGAATCCATTAGAATAATTTATAGTATTCAAAAATTTTGTTGCATTCTTTATTCGAGTAATCTTCATTACAACTTATAATATTATTATTATTTGTATATTCAAAATAATAAATACTCCATAGTTTTAATACGTAGTTGGTGGCTTCCTATTAGATGAAGTTCTTCTGCTCATAAGAGTTAAAGCTTTGGAGCCAAATTGCGGTCGGCACATAATCGGCGAACAACATCATTATACTTTTGCGAAAATCTAATGACGAACATCCTATTCTCGGTCCAGGCTGGCTTTGTAAAATCAATTATTAGCAGCTTATTTTTGGATTTGTAAACTTATGGGATACGGGAAAGTCGCACTTCATCAACTAATGAGAGATGTTTGATGGAAATGCAGTAATTATGTTAAATCACGTTGCAATGCCTCAAGCAACCGAGAGATTATCTCAATCTGCTTTTTTATCCCTTGGTTTATATTGTTATTATAGTCGCGTTAGAATCTTTTAATTCCATAATTTCCGCGTAGTTATGATCCCAACCTAAATTCATCGATCTTAACGAATCAAAATGTCTAACCTCTTTCGCATAATTAAATATTTATTTAACATTTATTTTATTTTCACATGATTTAGCATTTGTTAAACATCAAACTTAACGTCTGCTGTTAGTACCCGTCCAACCAAGCTAAGATTCTATAAATAGAAAAATCTAGCACAGTTAGAAAACATACTCAAATAAACTAATAAAATAACTTTATAAGCTCACCTTTACTTGTAAATGTAAATTATTGTTTCCCTTCTATTATTTTCAAATCTTTCTGTGCAAATATTGAAAGAAACTCACTTTAACTCGAGTTTTTTCTATGATTTATTGGCAGAAATTAGTCCATTCTGTTATTATTTCGTTGGAAGAAACTAAGTCCAACCTGTCATTTCGAACACTCTAGTTTTTGCTAAACTGAAACCATTTGAAGTATGGCCGCGTCAATAAGTCCTGATTTATCTTTTTGTTGTTGGTCATCAGAAACCTCCACGAAATATATCTTTATTATTTTTAAAGGCCGATTTGGGAAATCTTTAGAACATTAAAGAAATCCTTAATAGTAAATAATTCAGTCTAAAACTAATATTAACTGTTGTCCATTCTTTTAAAAGAAAGAGCAAACAATACGCTAGACTAAGAAAGAGATGAGCTGTTCGACTAAAACCATACCTCAAAGGTAAACAGCCCTTAAAACGCATATCCAGGATCCGGCAATGCTAATAATAACATTTGGACAACAATACCGTCCTCAGAATCTTCTCATGCTATTAAACACCCACAGTGTTAGGATTAGTTAAATATCAAATAAAATTTAGCCTGAAATAAAGGATTAGCTGAATAATTACATAAAATTAAAATGAAAATGTAAAATAAAATTTTTGATTTCTTACGTCCTAAAAATAAAGAAAAGAATAACGAATTAAATTAACATAAAATGAAAATGCAAAATAAAATCGTGATTTCTTACTAACTAAATAAAAGATAGAATAATTGATAAGTTAAATGAATAAATTAATATGAAATAAAGTTAAAATAAAAACGTAAAATAATATCTTTGATTTCTTGCGCACTAAATAAAAGATAAAATAATAGATTTGTTAAATAAATTAATTACGAAAAAAATTAAAATGAAAATGCAAAATTAAATCATTGATTTCTTACCAACTAAATAAAGGATAGAATTATGGTTAATTAAATAAATTTAATATCAAATAAAATTAAAATCAAATGTAAAAATAAAATCGTTGATTTCTGTATGTCCTAAATAAAGAAAAAAATAATGGGTCAGTTGAATAATTAATAACAAATAAAATAAAAATAAAAATGTAGTTGATTTCTTATAAAGTATGAAATTATGAATTAGCTAATTAATGTCAATTAAAATTAAAATGAAAATGTAAAATCAATTTATTGATCTAAATAAAGGTTAGAATAATGCAACAGTTAAATAAATTAATATCAAAATAAAAATTATAAAATAAAATCGTTAATTTTTTACGTGCTAAATAAAGGATAAAATAGGATTATTAAAATATCTGAATAATCTAAAAATTAAGATAATTAATTAATTGATATTAAATGAAAAAATAATCTTAATTATACTTTTTATCGTCTTTTTTCACTTGTATAGATCAATTTAGCCTCCATTTAATAATTATTATTGCATAAATAGTGTTGCCGTAGCAATGAAAAACCCCGCGATCCATGGAAACTCCGTGATTCGATGTGTCTGACGATTAGAATAATTAGAAAATACATACAAATATCCTACCTTGTGGTATTAACATTGTTGTTGCTTCTCCTAACCACCCGAATTCTCCCTAAACTTCCTTATCGACGTCTCAAGAACATGAACATAGCAACAAATCACAAACAAACATATTGCTATGCTGTCTTTTGATCCAAAGAAATTCTCTCGAATTCTTATAACATTCATACTTTAGTGTTTATTACTAATCCACTTATAGCAATTGATGTTTGATAACAATTAATTCTTATTTTTAATTCGTAATAATAATAAAGTCACGCCCCTTTTGTAAACTCATCCCATAATTTGCACGTGAAGACTCGTAATCTAGACCTATAAATAGCAAGCAGTTAGAACAAGAACAAAAATGTATAAAAAGAATAGCTTTCGCAAAGCGGAGTGACAAGTCTTGTATGATTTGAAGAAAAATAAATAAAATTGATTATTTTTAAGTCTTATCCAAAATAGCTTCAGATTTTATCGCTTTTGCGCCTTAACAAAATCGATAGCTTTAATTCTCTTGTGCTTAACAATTGAAGACTTTGCTGCTTTGGCCATACAAAGTTGAAGAATCACGTTCGATTATAGGTTTCGTTGATACTCTTTGTGTAATAATTATTCTTTTGTTTGACTTTAACGTGGAGATACCTTTTATTTGTTGTTTTAGAATAAACCTATTATAGTGGTTTGGGCTAGTTGATATATGAATTTTAATCGTAAATTAGCATAGTTATTTGATCATTTGAAATTTAAGTTATATTTTGTTAGTGATTGAACTTTACTTTGCGCTCTTGAACTAAAGTTAACAATTCATACTTTACAATATCCGTGTAGTTTAGCGCAGGAGATCTTTAGAGCCTTAGTGATATCCCACTCTATGTAAATCATTCAATGTAGCTCTCATTTCTTGTTACGTTTGTAATTCCTTAGTCCAACTAATTTCTGAGTTGTGCATAACAATAGAATTAGAATAAAGATGAATAACTACGGAGATTGGAATTTCGCACACTTATCGATAAATCTAAATTGTGGCTTTATATACCATCTTTAATATTATTACTTCATGCAATAATTCTGTTTATTGTCTTAGCTGACTTCAATACCAACTCTTTATTCAAAACATGCATTTCACCAAATCTCCTCTTGCCAATTTTCTCAATATTAGTAATTTTTTTGAAGGGTTCTAGGTGCCGATTTAATAAACTCCTCGATTTCATCATACATGATACATGTACATTTGTAATGGTAAGTGGGAAATCTAAACCTAATTTGATTATGTAATTTTGTTTTAATTCATGTATTATAAAAATTCTAAAATAATCTGAATGGCGATCATTCCCATAGCCGGTTGAAATAAATTCTAATGGAGAACTTTAAATTTGTAACTATAAAGTAGTTATTCATTTAGTAAAACTCGAATAAGTATATAAATGTACATAGAAAGCACAAACTTGTTTTTGACCAATCAGCGACAGTTTCAATCAACAATCCAAGTCACGAAGAAAAATAGTTCCAAAAAATATCACTTCCTGTAATGAAATTCACATCACGTCCTCAATAGAAGGATCACTCACATGAGGAGAATTCAAAAAGTTAACGGCAACGAACAGACTCATACCCATAACATCGACGTTGTCTAAAATTTGAGACAAGAAAAAAAATTTTCTCTTGTTCTATTAAATCTTATGTATACGATAGCGATAGTAACAAAATAAGGTTATTGATATGCAGATAAAAAATAATTTGATCGAAGTCATGATACGGGTCTTGTCGATACCAAATAATATTCCCAAATGATACAAATTTATTATTGAAAAATGTTGGGATCCTATTCCAGAAAACAGACAAACGATTGAGGAACTTGGAGACTTTATTAGATTTATCAGAAATAGAATACTTTGCATTTTGCAATTTACGCCAGTCGAATGTTTGCTTCCAAATTAATATTAATCCCAACTGATATAGGTACATGTATACACATTTATTATTATATTCAATCATAATGAAAGTTAAATTTATTGAGGTTCTTCAAATGTTACATGTAAATACTTTGTTCTGTATAGACAATTGAATTGTATGATTCATATCATCTATTATCAAATTAATTCAAATCTAAATCTAACAATAGAATTAACTAAAGATGCTGACACAAAGCTAACTTGCAGAGTCAGTCAATTTAACTTTTTTAGTATAATATATATTAATCTTTAAGAATTTTTAAATTTGATAAAAGATTCAAATAATATTATGCAAATTATCTTCTTTTGTATTATATCTTCTATAATTCAAATTCTGATCTTGTATTTAAGTAATAAATTTTGAAAATTATAATAGGTTCAGATATAATTATATATAGTAATCATTATAAATTTTTGATATAATGGATAGAATAATGAAAAATTATCTGATAATTTAGACACATCTTCTTTATAACCTGTAAAACAAGTTTGATTAAAATATTTTACAGAATTGTTATTAATTATTATTATATCTTTCTCAATAAAATTTATTATAAAAAAATAAATCAGATTTAATAAAGATTGAGCTTATATTATTAAAAATAATATTAAGTATCATAAAGTTCTGATAATAAGTAACTCCCTATATCATTATTTTTGAGATCAATTTTTAGAGGATTGCATATTTTTAAGTTCTTTAAATATAAATATATTAATCCAAATTGAATGTTCTATAGTTCATTTGATTTATCTTATTAAGATAATTATTTTGACAGTTTTTTCATTTAAATCTGATTACTAATTATTAAAATACTTGAAAAATATTTATTACTATATATTAAAAATTACTATTGCAAATAAAGATTACTTATTTAACTTTTTTAAGACTTTTGGATCTGAAGAGAGAGAAGTTGCTTATTTTAGAGAGTTACTTATTATTGGAGCTTTATGATAATTATTTTATTATAAGTAAAACTATTCATTATATTATAAAGTATATATTTATAAATTTTGATATGATTCTGATAATTTTTTATTATTTGAGAATATTTTTAATAAGATAATTATATTAATATATCTTAAATAATTTTATTCTTCATATTAAAAAAATATATATTTAAAAAATTTCACAAAATTCTATTTATTCTTTATTATATAATTAATATATAAATTTCAAATTTCAAATATTTATAATAATTATTATATTATGCTTTTTTTATAATTCAGATTTAAATATAATTTATTTAATATTATATTAACTAATTTTATTTATATCTTTAGTAAACTACTATATAAAAAATATATAAATATCAGAATTAATAAAGATTATATAATATAAATATATATTATTAATATATAATAATATAACTATAAATTAAAATTATATACTAAATATAAAAAAGAAAGAATTATAAATAATAATATTAACTTAATAATTTTAAGTTTAATAATATTAAATAATTATTATATTAATTAGTAAATTTATGAAATAAATAATTATAATTATAAGTATTAGTTATATTAAATATTAATAAATATAATATTAACTTATAAATTTTTATTTATTTATTATATTTTAAAAAGATTTTTAAAAAAAAAGTAGTAAAATTATAATATTTAAAATATATTAATAAATAATAAATAATTAAAAGATAAATTTTTAATTTATTTATTTTTTATAAATTATAAATCTAAAAGTTATTTTATTTAATATTAATTGATGATCTGTTAATAGATAAGATTTGTTGATTAAGTAAATGCAGGGAAAAAATTATAATAAATATTATAAACTTTAAAATCTATATCATCTGTAGTATTAGAAATATGGTCCAACTTTTAGCTTGTGATAATATAATAAATAGTCTTCATTATGATTCTTTTTCTTTAAATTGGTGGTGTTTTTCAAAAAAAAGAGCCAAGTATATACCTTATTATATTAATTATCATATTTATATTGAATTAAATTTTCAAGAATTTATAATATGTATAGTTCAAAAAGAGTATGTGAATTTTAAGTCAGGATTTATATGTGAATTTGATAGTAGTAGTAAAGTTTATGATTCTTCTTCTATCATAATAACA